GGCTTCCCATCACACAGAAGATACAGTTTAAGATCCTGGTCCTCACCCTCAAAGCTCTCCATGGTCTTGCTCCCCTTTACCTCTGCGACCTCCTAACCCCCTACTATCCTGTTCGCTTCCTCTGCTCAGCGGGCTCTGACCCGCTTCACGTCCCCCGCCATGCTCGCCCCACTATCGGCGGGCGGGCCACTCTGCACCCACCCTCTGGAACACCATCCTGCAGTCTCTCCATCTCACCCCCTCCCTCCCACCTTCAAGACCCACTTCAAGACCCTCCTTTTCGACTGTGCTTTCGATCTCCCTGCTTCCCCCGCTGGCCTCGCCCCTCCCCCACCACAACCCTCAGCTCGGGTCCGAAACTCTGTCTGTCCAGCGCCTTGGGACGTCCTCCCGATGTGAAGGGTGCTATACAAATGTAATTTTGTTGTTACTGTTGTGCGCAAATTGTCTACCATGCACATCACTTCATCGTACAATCTTGTGAAGTGCTTTGAGATGACTCAACAATGTAATAAGGTACTATATCAAATACAAGGCTTTTTATTATTCTCTTCAGCCATTTAAATAACACCTTTCATGTTGGGAGGATGTCTCAAAAAACACTTCACACAGCTGACTGGGAATCCAAGCTGGGACAGTGGGTGCTGAGGAGGTTCTTTGTGTTCGAGTTACAAGGAGATCAAATGGGCTTTATTCATCCAAACCACTCTTGCGTTTTTATGACCTTCATGTGTCTGCAGAGTCTTTGTTGGTATGCTAGGTTTGTCTTGCGTAATGCCAGACATTTTCAGGAGATGTTTCCTGCTAAACCAAGACAACAGAACAAAAGGCCACAGGTTCAGTGTTGTAAAGGGTAATTTTAGCAAAGACACCAGAAATATTTTTTTTCACATGCGTAGTATGTGGGGGAAATGACTATCAGAATGTGGAATAGGTTACCTCAAATGGTTTGAGGTTATGCATTATATCATTTAAAAGATTGGACAAATCCCCAAGGAAATATTATTTAAAAGCTATTTGGGATAGAGCAAGAGAATGGGGTTTGGAGTTGAGAGCTCCAGTGGGAAAGCAAGCAGCGACACTGACTTGGTTGGATGAATTGCTTCCTTCTGTGCTGAAAATCTTCTATGATTCTATGGAGTACAATTTGTAATTTTCCTTGAATAGTGCCAGTGTTATTTTTACTCGTTATTGTCACAATTAGCAGTAGTTGGTATTAACATAACATTGCTAAATAGAAACTGAGCTGTCTGTAATACACTAAATAGCCACCAGATGGAAGTGTCCAGACCCGTCTCAAATGGGACTCAGACTCTCACTACCGACATCTTTTAAAAGTGGCAATTTTTTGCCTTCACATTTTCGAGCTTCAGGGAATGTGATGAGTTTTTATTTTGGTTCATTGCTCCTTTTTCCTGTCTGGATCTGCAGCAATTTTTACTTGCTACCAGGCCCAGAAAATGTTTTTTTTTTTGCAGTGGAGGTCAGGGCGTCTGGTATCTGGGGTAAAGGGACATAGCTGGATGAGATGCTGGATAAACTTGGATTAGTCTCCCTGGTTGAGGGTCATTTGATTGAGGGATTAAAGGCGCCGTTCTTCGAATGAAACTTTAAACAAAATTTGCCTGTTCAGGTGGATGTCAAAGATCCCATAGCACTATTCAAAAGAGAATGGAGTTTCTCTCGATGTCCTGGACAACAATTCCCCCAAATAAAATTGCTCACTGGCTGTTTGTACAACATTGCAGGATGCAATTGTGCTGCTACATTTACCTGCATATACACAGTCGCTTCCTTTCACAGTAAATGCTATGAAGTACTTTGAGACGTCCTTCTGATGTGACAAGGTCAAATACAAAATGCAAGGATTATTATTTTTCATATTTGGGAAGTAAAGCCATTAAAGGATATGGGAAATAAAGCATGTTAAAATGACCTGCTCATTCCGACTACCTTCAAAAAAACAATTTTGCTCATGACACGTGATTGGATTTTGACCTTCTGGAATGTTCTTAGCTCTTCGCTTTCAATTTTATGCAGAAATTTGCACTGACTGAGAAAAGGGGATAGGAAAGGGCAAAATTCTACTGGTCTTTGTGTTCGTGTACCTCTGCGGAATTAATCAAACTGAAAATTCAATGCTGACATTCAGGTAGGCACATTAACAATCACAACAACTCACAGTAAAATCCTGTGCTTTGAGATGTCTTCATAACATGTTAAGGCATTGCATCAAATGCAAGGATTATGATTTACTATTATTATCATGACTTTTATCATTATTATTATGACAGCTTCCCAGATGTTATCCAGACAGTGCAGATAGTTGGATAACCTTTTAGGACACAAGTTAAGCTATTCATGCAGATCAAAGACTATTAAAAATATTATCCTAATAAGATTTCAAAATACTGCTCCACTGGAATTAAACTATGGGATAAACTCTTAATTGAAATTGTGATCAAAATCAATCTAAAATAACTTGATCCAATCTGACCTATCCTTTTGGAAATAGATACTGTAGGGATTGACACTGATTCAAACACTCGATACACACACAATGTCTTGTTGAAAACCTGTCTGGTGTCAGTGAATAGAAGTTAGTGACAGTCAGTGGCTTCATTTCACATCGGAGGCTGGGGTGGTTGTCATCTGCCAAGAAAGATGCCTCAGAGGGTATTTTATAGAGGTACATAGAATTTTAAATGAGGTTAAAAAAGTAAACCCAGATCAATACTTTAGAATACACCAAGGCAGTGGAAAGAGAAGACAAGTTTGTAACCGCAGAGTGCAATTTCAGGACAGACATTAGGAGATACTTCTTTACACAGAGAGTAATTAATAACTGGAAGAGGTTGCCAGGAAGGGTGGTCAAGGCCAGTATACTGGACTCATTTAAAATTCAGCTTGATACTACGATGGAAAAGCTATCAATCTTGCAGAAGAAGAAAAAAAACGATAGATGTTCACTAAAAAAACCTTTCATTTTTAGCAGCATAACTATTTACCTGGTTTATTATCGCGCTCCAAAATACCTCTCAGGTATAAACCAGATTTTCTGTAGCATATATTTCAACGATTTTTTGTGACTAAAAACTTCATCATAACTAAATAACAAATGTTATAGAATTCTTTATTGAAAATTATCCAAAAACCACATGATTATATTTTTCATATGTGGGCCTTGTAGCCCCATAGAGTATTGGTTAGGACATTCGCCTTGCAAGTGAGAGGACTGGGTTCAATTCCCAGGCAGGATGAAACCTTAGGCAAGTTTCCTAACTCCACACTCCTCTGTTTACCTAGCAGTAAGTAGGAACCCAGTTGTTAGTTGACTAGTGGATAGTTTTCTGGTGGTAATAAAGAATCCCAATTTATTTTAAAAACTTGGTCACTCCATGCATGACTGTTTGTAGGACATTGCTATGCACAATTGGCTGCCCCGTTTTGCCCAGAAAATACACAGTCAATACACTTTACAATATATATATTCTGTGAAGGGCTTTGAGATATCTCAACGATGTGATAAGGCGTTATATCACATGACAGGATTATTATTATTGTTAGAGTTTGATCTTTGAACTCTCTTTTGCCACTCTTTGCTATTGAAATCTCCTTTCTGCACAAAAAACATAACAATCATCTCTTATGCATGTCCGGAAATTCATTCAAACATTCTTTCTTGAAATTCTGCTCATATTTTCTTCTCTTAGATGGTTGTATTCTCAGTTGAACTTCAATAACCCCCCCAGCTATGCACATGCCAAGTATCTGGAATTAGGGGGAAAGGTTGGAAAAAATGTCACACTACGATTCAGCAATGGATGCCAAACTCCATTCTGTATTTTCAAACTCCCTCAATACGACCTGAGGCTTGGTTTAGCCATGGCATCAACAGAGCCACATTTTTAAAAACTAGTGCAACCACTGCCGCAAAGACTGTTGAGCTTTCCCATAGACCCTTAGATGGACCTAAAAACCCATAGCGTATGAGGAAAATCCATACACTTGGCAGCTATTGTACTCTGGAAGGTCACCTTCATCCAAACTGATCTCGTGATTGTTTGTTCGAACAAGGTGCAATATCAGTCTTGTTTTCATGTTGTGTTCATGTTATGAACCACAAATATATTTATACTTTTTAACACTAGTTGCTTCTCTCTGCAAGCCTGCCTCAGCATGATATAATTCCCTAGTGACCCATATACTCCTACTAGTAATACAACAACAACAAGATTAAATTTGTATAGCGCCTTTCACGTTGGGAGGATGTCCCAAGGTGCTGGACGGAGTACAGCATTTCAGACCACAAAGCTAGTAATACAGTAGTTAGCTGATTGATTTTTTAAAATCAGTTTTGCTGCATAAAAGTCAGGGTTAAACTAGATTAAAGTAAACTACGTACAACAACAACAACAACAAGATTCCATTTATAAAGCGCCTTTCACGTCAGGAGGACGTCCCAAGGCGCTGCACAGTTGGGTCATGACCCGAGCAGGGGGGAAATGTTCAGGGTGAGGGGAGGGAAGGGAGGGAGCGAGGAGGGGGGAACTGGTCATGGTGAGGGGAGGGAAGGGAGGGAGCGAGGAGGGGGAAGAGAGTCGAGAGGGGAGCTGAAGGCTCGTACTTGCTAAGTCAAGAATAAAAGTCATATCACAAAGTTTTTGGTGGAAAACATTTTTTTATGCATTTCATCAATAAAATTCCAGGTCACTTTAGGTTGAGAAGTGGAAAGCAACCCACATCTTCACTTCATTTTGGAAACAGTGGATCAAAATTGTGACATGTGAAAATAGCCCTGGTGATATTTATCACATCCACTGAAAATGTATTCAAAAACTGACCTTGGGATGGGAGATGGCAGCATATGCCACATTTTTAATAATGTCACATGCCACACTTTTGACCCCGATAGGTGTGGATGGCAGTACATTTTTCCTCAAGACTGCTAGGAAACGTTCTAATGAAAGCTTGTGAAGAGGGCAAAAAAAGATACTCACTGTCTCCTTGGCAACGCAGTGGACCGAGTGCAAGCTTCGCTTCAGACCCTGAGCGGTTAGTATCTCCAATTAGGACCTGGCTGACTGGAAGGTGATCTTTATAAGCGAGAAGTCCAGTATCTTTCCTCCTGAAGGTATATTTTGTGAAAAGGATATATTATTGTACGATAGATGTAGGCAAGACATGAATTTTTCATGAGTATAGTATTATATTTTGGAATGTGAACAATCTAAATGGAAAATTGTTTGGCAGACCTTTTTTTAAAAAAAATGTTCCCGAAAACGATGATGTAAATTAGATTAAAGAGCACCACTCCACCATCTACAGTTTGCTTCATGCTTTATCATGTGGAAAATAATGCTCCATTCTTTCAGATGTCCACCAAACATAAAGCTGCCTACCAAGCTTTCTTCAACAAAGATTTTAGAATTTAAGAGGGCAATACAATGCTCGAAGGTTCAATGCTAAATCATGAATTTTTCAATAACCACTACCACAGAATGTGCCCAGACCACCCTATACATTATAATACTTGAATTTGATATAGTGCCTTATCACATTGTCAAGACATTTCAAAGGGCTTCGCAAGATATGTATCACAAGACTGGGTATTTGTGGGGAACACTGCAGCCAATTTCAACAGAGTAATGTCTCACAAATAGCCATGAAGTGAGTGATCTATTTTTTGGCTGGATTGTTGGCCAGGTTGCTGGGAGAAACTCCCATCTCTTCTCAAATAGTGCCATAGGATCTTTAACATCCACCGGGATGGGCAGTTCAGACCTCAGTTTAACATCTCATCCGAAGGATGGCAGCTCTGACAATACAATACCCCCCAGCATTGCACTGGAGAGTCACCACTATTTGATTCAAAGTTCTGACGTGGGACTTGAACCCACAACCTTCTGACTCAGAGGCGAAAGTGTGACCACTGTGTCAGGCTTCCATTGCCAAGCATGAAAGCCAGTTCAGCTCTGCTTATCTCCATCCCCCTTCCTCCCCCTCCCCTTAGGTGGAGAGTCAAACAAAAGCAACATGATTTAATTTCTGTAAATATATCAACAATCCGAAAACAACATTGTTTTACTATTTTGAAAATGGATCACAAACATTTTTCAGAGGTTCACAATAATTTTTTAGGACAATTTACATAAAAACTAATATAATAATACAATAATAATTGAAGCACACCTTTCAGTTTATTGGATTCATTTATCTCTGCACACTTTCTTAGAATTTTCTTATACGGTTATAAACTGATGTCCCAGATTACATAAATGTTCTTGCATCTATACTCGGCGAGACATAATTTGTGTCGTTAATGAGTTTTGAACTAATTTGTTACTATCATTAAATTGGATGCTTTAATAGCGGTTTGGTTCTACAATCAATAACAGTTCAAAAGGGGCACAGGATGAAATGCATTGATTAGTCTATAATTTGCTAAAAGGTCTTGCTAATGGATGCCTGCAAAAAGCAAAAGGCACAGAGGTAAGGATTTTACTCAAATGAGGAACGTGGAAAGTGTAACGTTGGTGGCTTTGATCAAGAGAAAGATGTGTGAGGAAATGAGCAAGGCTTGTAATTACAAAAATGCATTGTGCAAAAAGGATTGAAATTGTGTTTGAATACTTAAAATAAAAACAGCAGTAGAGGTCAATGGTAATGGCAACACTGAAATACACAGCAGTCTGGTCTTTGAAATCACAGTCTAGGCTGATACTCCAGTAATAATAATTATCCTTGCATTTGATATAGTGCCTTTAAGCACTCTGGGACGCCACCCGATGTGAAGGGGGCTATATAAGTGCAACTTGTTGTTGTTAAAACGTCTTTGAGATGTCTCAAAAGCACTTCACAGAATATGCTGAAAAGTGAATTGACTGCATAACTTGTGGGCGAAACATGGCAGCCAATTGCACACAGCAACACATGACACTATTTGAAAGAGAACGGCATTTCTCCCAGTCCCCCAACAATCCTGGCCAACAATCCCCCAAATAAAATGAGCTGTTTGTGAGGTATTGCTGTGTGCAAATTGGCTTACAGAATACACAGTCACTACACTTCACCATAAATCCTGTGAGGCACTTTGCGACATTTTGAAATTGTGATAAGGGATTAGATCAAATGTGAGTATTATTATTATTATCATAATATTTTATAATCAGAAACAACTAAACCCAATTGTTGTTGCAAAAAAGCATCAAGTAGCAACTTTCCTCTACATAATCCCACTTCTATGTTTATTTTCCAAAGGCAACATTTATATATTTGAAATAAGACTAATTGTAAGAGCACTCAACAATGAATGGACTAAGCTGAAAAAAAAGATTCCTCAAACATCCTGAAAGCCACTTAGAAATAGACACCTCTTATATTTGACACATGTTGAAAACCCAACTGGTTACAACAATAATTACTCTACAATACATCTCCCCCATTCACATACAAGCATTCTACTGCTTCTCAACAGTACCTGACATCTTTTCTCCATTTACTGGTAAAATACAACATGTTTAGTACATCATTTGCAACATTTACAAATAATTCAGATTTTCCTTTCCGATTGATGTTTAATCATCATCCTGTTTCTCTGTTCTTTTTATCCACATGTTGTCAGTGGCTCGTGTGATTGCAGACAGAAACCAGGATATATCCCCAGAGGGTAATTAATGACTGGAACAGATTGCCAGGAAGGGTGTTACAGCTCAGTGATGGAAATGGGCTGAAGAACCTTCTTCATCCAAACAATGCAACAGATACCCAACACTGCATTGGAGTGTCAGCCTATACTTTGTGAGCTCAAGTCCTGATGTGGGGCTTGAACCCACAACCTTCTGACCCAGAGGTGAGAGTGCTACCATTGAGCCAAGTTGACACACACATTTATATAGACAAGTGACAACATATGGGGAGGACTCTCACATGTATAAACCTATAAGTGCAATGGATCTCTCTCATGTTCCAGATTGAAACATGTAATTGAAAGTGTAACAAAGGGATATCACAGTAGGGGGACAGAAATTTGATATTTTTTATTTCCCCAAAAGATACCTATGGTACTTTATATAACATTTCCAAAGCACTCCATCAGACAGGGAGCATCTTGTATAAATATCTGTCATTCAGTAAAGTACATGGCACATAACTGCTATGTTTAATGAAACAGATAAATGATTCAAACAGAATACTTCCTGGAGGGTAATTTAGTATGATATTAATTTCCACTTGTGACACTGACCACAAGTCTCATTTTGTTATTTCTGAGTTAAACAACCTCTTCACTCAAGTAAGCAAAATCTAATATCACACCTCCGTGAAGCAGCCACTGAATAATTTCAACAGCTCACACTAGTGTATTGCCAGGTTACAGTGAAAAAATCTGCAGAGGAAACTAGGGAAGGTCTAACATTTCTACCACCTGGATTTCTCCCTGTTCACTATGAAATATGACATTCTTTTATGAGTGTTAAAATGTGACAATTCACAAGGCTGCAGGCCTCATGCATTATAATGATCTCCTGTATGAGTGACAGAATGCTACTTATCCAATTTCTCAGTGGGTGAAGTCACAGTAGGTTGTGGTACTGAGCCACATACACCCAGAAGGAACAAGGGTGGGTTGCCTGATCTGCTGAGTTAGTTGATCTCAACCAGGCTATCTTTGGGTGATATTAATGGGCTGAGTGATTCTAAAGACTGGGAAGGGGGAATGATTCAAGAGATTTGTGCAGATACCAGAGGCCCAAGATCCTATAAATAATAATAATTTGGTCGCTCAATCTACAATTGTTTATTGGACACTGCTGTGTGCAATTGGCTGCAGTATTTCACCCACAACCATACAGTCAAGTTATTTTATGCTTTGAGACATCCGGAAGATGTGAAAAACGCTACATCAAATGCAAGGATTATTATGCTATCCAATATTGTTAAGTACTATGAGAAGTCCTCCAAATGTGAAAGGCTCCATATAACCATAAATTGTATCGTATTGTAAGATCACAGTCTTAAGACCGAACTGCCCTTAACATTCTTGGATAACTCTTAAATTCTTTTTAAGAACTGAAGAAATGATGCTTCAAATTAACTGCACAACTGCAATTTTTAAGGGAATTATCTTAAAACTTGGCCCAGGAGATCATTCAGGCTTCAGCAGGTGAGGGCAGTTTAGGATTATAGCTGTGATGTTCCCTACAGTCAAAGAAGTTGCCAATATTCATGTAAAGCAGCCATTTGGACAAAGGTGTGAAGGATTGCTGCTGCCTATGGAAATGCACTTTAGCATGAGTGAGAGGAAAGAACACAAATCTTTGATCTCTCCACCAGAGTAGCGTTTCAGAGCACTTAACATTAGCTGAGCCTGACACCGAGCAGAGAGGGGTGGCAGGAATGGTGTCCGTAAGCATGAGGAAGGTTTTCAGGTGGGACTTGAAAAAGGGGAGGGAGGGGGCAAGGTGAAGGGATTGAGGGAGAGTGTTCCAGAGTTTTGGGGCGTGGTGGCTGAAGTGCCAGGGAGTGAATTGATTTGAACACGAGTGTGAGGATCTCAAAGTTGATCCGTTCGGTGATGGGGAGCCAAACAGCACTATATAAATACAAGTTTTTGTTCTTGTTGTTAAATTTACAATTACTGGTGAAACATTCAGTTCATTCTGTCAACATAAAGATCACGAAAGAGCCTTGGGCACATCAGCAAATGATCTCTGGGTGCCATACTTTTTCAAGACGAAAGGTTTTTATCCACACCTTTTTAAGGTTCATTTGGGAATTTGTGTATTGGAGAACAAATCTTGTTATCTTGTGAAATTGCCAATTGTGATCACGGAATGAAGATAGAGCAAATGACAATGTTAAACATAGTAATGGGGAGTCTACTCACCACTGTTTGTAATCTGCATCACAGTTGCAATAGCGCTTTGGATTAGTGCAGTTTCGTTCAATGCCACAAGCACATTTCTGTATTCCGGGTCCGGAACCTCCCCAGTAATAGTGCTTTTCATTGCCTCTTCCTATCCACCAGGTATATGGATTGCCATCTACAAACAGAGCGAGGCAGATGCATCAAATAAATGTCAGTAATAAACTGCAGAAACGTCCAATCCTATAATCCAACAATGATTGAGATGGCAATAACCTGGCATAAATTTGAGATTACTATTGGCATAAAAAGGAAGGTTAGAGTTTTATTTAACACAGACATATTGAGGTGTGGAATATATTACCAAAAGTAACTAATGAAGCTGACATTTATTAGGCAGATAAATATTTGAAGATGAATAAATACCACGTGAGCTGCATTCAACAGGATTCACTCGCAATTTAAAATATCTTATTCTATTTTTGTATGGATCACTAGGGAAGCCATATTTGGAATACTGTTTGCATTTGTGTGTGCACTACAATCTTCAATGCACCAGGAATTGCTCTTTGAACCATACGTTTGTTTCATCTTTAATGTGAATAAATACATTCAGGTGGACCAGTAAGTGCCGAGGAAGATTGCTACAACATACAAGGTGCATCAAGGTAAAACCATTGCTGTTGATGCATTAGAAGCATTAGTATGGAAACTTCCTTTCTCAAGTTCTCAAGGTTCTTGGTTTCACAATCATGTGACATCTCTTTAGATTTTGTGTGAGGAAACTTAATTTAAAATAGCTTTTAAACAGTACATTTAAAACATATATTTTTGCGGGGATTGGAGCTGGAAGAAATTTTAAATCAAAATCCTGTCTGCTCATTCAGGTGGGGGTTAAAGATCTCATGACATGTTTTGGAGCATCTCAGCTACAAACCTGATAAATAAACAAACTTGAAGTTTCTTGTGCACAGCCCAGTGTGAAATTTCCCTTATCACTATTCTATTAACATGTGTTAGCCTTGAATAATCCTTTAATCCTTTCAAATCTGTCCTGCAACCTTTCAACTGTGATGTTTTTCCCATCCTTATTTCGCTTCCCGGCTATACCTCAGTCTGCATTTTCCTTGATTTTCTCTGTACGTTGAGTTGTCTTTTGACCATCTTTTTTTCCCTACAAACTCACTGAATGTCACTGCACACTTAATAACACTGGCGTATCTGTCAGATAAACCAAGTTATAAGGATGGCTCTAAAGTAAAATAAAGAGCCATGGAGCAGTCATGCACATTTTCTGACTCACTGAATTTAACAAAGGGTCTGAGTGACAGCTTCATTTCCCTTTGGAAGAGGACACCCTGAGACCACACGCCAGTGTTTGTGTAAAGCATTATTCTTGTCAGGACTCATGGCTCTTGCCACTGATATGAAATAAGTGCCACCAACATTCTACTCTCTCTGCTGAGACTATGGGAAATCAACCAATAAAATCTGTCTGCCTCTCTTCAAATCTTTCAACCACTTTCAAAAGCAGCAGACGCTTTTTTTTAATTTAAAAATAATGAAAGGTGAAAATAAAATTTCTCCTCAATCGGACTGACGTGAACAACAGTCCTATCTTCACCACAACGTATAACACATCACTGTTTTACAATACACCATACAATATATTTGTAAAGCGCCTTTCACGTCAGGGCTTAGGACCCGAGCAGGGTGTTTGGGATCAGGGAGGGTGGAGGGCAGAGAGGGTAGGAGGGTGTCCGAAGGCACGGCAAAGAGGAGGGTCTTGGGGCGTGCTTTGAAGGAGACAAGGGAGGGAGCAAGGTGAAGGGAATGTGGGATGGAGTTCCAGAGGGTGGGGGCAGAGAGGCTGAAGGCCTGACCGCCAATCGTGGGGTGGGCCGGGCGGGGGACATGGAGCAGGCCGGAGCCTGCTGAACGGGGGGAGCGGACAGGTTGGTAAAGGGTCAGCAGGTCAGAGAGGTAGGAGTGGGCAACGCCATGGAGGGCCTTGAAAGTAAGGATTTTAAATTCTATCCTCTGAGGGATGGGGAGCCAGTGGAGCCGGGCGAGGGTTGGTATAACGGGGTCACGGAGCCTGGTGCAGGAGAGGACACGAGCTGCAGAGTTCTGGATGACCTGCAACTTGTGGAGGGAAGAGTTGGGAAGGCCGACAAACAGGGCGTTGGCATAGTCGAGTCTGGTTGTAATGAAGGCTTGGACCGAATGTAGTGATATCAATACCAAACAGTTATGTGCCGTGCAGTACCAAGTAACAACTCATAATAAAGTATCCAGACAATTTCAACTATATATGTGTTATTTCTTTTCTTTCACATGAGAATGAGACATAATAATTGTCCTTTTTATCTTCACACCTCCCAGGTCCCCAACCCCATTTCTCAGTTATTAAGCAGTGCAATTACATGGAAAGACTGTTTGATGGTAAATGTTCTGATACAGTACATAGCCTCATTTCTTCAGCAGCATAAGAAAACCGCTGGCCATCTTGTCGAGGAAGGTTTTATCATGTTTATCCATTTCAAAAGAAATCGGCCATTAAAAAAAGATATTTATATGATAATACGCATTGTATCACCTTGCAGAATACAAATTTATGTCAATCACTCATTTCCACATAATTCTTCCCTGGGAAGGGGGGAGGTGAGTGAGGTCTCCCTGGAGCTGAGCTGATTTCATACTTGGCAATGGAATGTCAGAATTGATCCAGTCCTCTGTAGCGGTCTTGGTAGTCTGGTTCCTGAGTCAGATGTGTCTGCATTATTCCAGGGCACTGCTGATAACAGCACAATCTGGCTCATCAGCAGAACCTGGAGATCTGCTGTAATTATTATTACACAATTATTTTCTTTCTTTTGATAGTGGCCCAATATTTGTTTATATCCAGGTCAAAGCCTTAGCAGGTAGGGTGGTTCTAGCTGGACAAGCAACAGAAAGCTTGCCGGACACTGCGCTCAATGTGAAGCTATGCAACTTTAGCTGATTAAATTCCAGGAGTACCACAATGCAGAATCTGGCGTCCCTAAGCCTTGGCTCTTGCCAATCTATGCTTAATATTCTCCAGAATGAGATATGTAGGGTGTGAACTTCCAGAGAGAGAGCCCATTCCATTCTGATATATGGAATGGGATTCTGCATATCAGACGTCTGGCTGACCAAAAAGACCTTTACTTCCAGCTGCTTCTCAAACTAACTTCATTGGCTCCCTGGTAACATAACATAACATAACGTAACATAACGTAACATAACATAACATAACATAACATAACATAACATAACATAACGTGCGGGAGCAGGAGTAGGCCATTCGTCCCTTCGAGCCTGCCCCGCCATTCAATCATGGCTGATCTTCTAATCTAACTCCAGCTAATAACCTGACTCTGCCTTATCCCCATATCCCTTAATACCTTTTGCAATAAGAAATCTATCTCAGTCTTGAATATGTTCAAGGACTGAGAGTCAACAGCCCTTTAGGGTAGTGAGTTCCATACATTCACTACCCTTTGAGTGAAGAAGTTCTTCCTCAACTCAGTGCAAAAGGGCTGACCTCCGATTTTAAGGTTGTGACCCGTGGTTTTAGTTTCTTCAACCAGAGGAAACAATCTCCCACTATCTACTCTATCGTGCCCTTTGATGATCTTATAGGTTTCTATAAGATCCCCTCTAATTCTTCTATATTCTAGAGAATATAGGCCCAAATTGGTCAGCCTATCCTCGTAACTCATCGCCTTCATCCCTGGTACTAACCTCGTAAATCTACGCTGCACCCCCTCCAAGGCAAGTACATCCTTCTTTAAATAAGGAGACCAAAACTGTAAACTGTCACTCTGGACGCTAACACATTCCAATTTCTCCCCTTCTAAAAAATAACCTGCTCTACTGCTTTTGCTACCTAGGTGGATGACTTCGCACTTCCCTACATTATATTTCATCTGCCACCTACCTGCCCAATCACCTAACCTATCTATGTCTCGTTGCATTTTTTTGATGTCATCCTCTGTGTTGACACTTCCTCCTAGTTTTGTGTGAATTTAGATATGTTAACTTCGATGTCCTCATCTAGATCGTTGATGTAAATGGTAAATAGCTGAGGCCCAAGGACTAATCCTTGTGGCACTCCACTAGTCACATCCCACCAATCTGAAAAGGACCCGTTTATTCCTACTCTTTGTTTCCTACCCATTAACCATTCCCCAATCCACGTTAATATGCTCCTCCAATTCCATGGCCCCTTATCTTTTGACTAACCTTTTATGCGGCACCTTATCACCCACTATTATCGCTTTACTTTTCCCACATGCTCCATTGATTTCTTGATTAATACCTTATGCTATATTGTGATCACTGTTTGGGGGTCTATAAACCACTCCCATTAATATTTTCGGCTCTTTATTATTTTTTATTTCCTCCCATATTGTTCTCGACCTCCTGGTCATCGGATTTCAGATCCTTCCTCTCCACTGCTTTTATTTCATCCCTAATTAACAGGGCTACCCCCCCACCTCGTTTCCCACAGTGCCTATCTTTCCTGTAAACTGAGAACCCTGGAATATTTAACTCCCACCCTAGATCTCCTTGTAACCATGTTTCAGTGATGGCTACTAGATCGTACCCATATGTGTCTATCTGTGCTTTTAATTCATCAGTTTTATTCTGAATGCTTTGCACATTCAGATATAACATTTTTAATTTCCTACCATTTCCTCTACTCTCTGATTCCTTATCTACTTTGCCAAGCTTCTTACCCCTAGTTAACATATTCCTATTATCTGGCATGCTATTCTGCACTGTCATCTTTACTTTTTCCTATGCAACTACCTTTTTTCATTGAACTGATGGATAAAGATGAAAGAAATGCAGTTCATTATTTCATTTAATGCTCAATATTGCATGTAATACTCTTCAAATATATTTCATTATTAATTATTATTACACAATTATTTTCTTTCTTTTGATAGTGGTTAAGTATTTGTCTATATCCAGGTCAAAACTTAGGAAATGACCACCCATTCCATACTTCTGAGGTATAATTACAAAGGTGGTTACAACACAAAAACAAGCCATTTGGCCCAACTGGTCCACGGTAGTCTTCATACCACTTCATACTACAGCCTCCTAATTCCCTCTTCCAAGCCGCTGGGAGAAATTCCATTCTCT